ATTTTGCTATCTACAATCATCATATACCTTAGTCTCAACATCAAACATCCTAATTATGTTGCTCGAAACGGACGGAATGCTCAATTATAAAGGCTTCAGCGCCACCTACAACACTTCTGGTAATGTGTTTAGATTCAGATTTTTTGTATTTCTTATTTTAAAACACCTGATTTCCCTAAGTGGGATTCTCACTTCCCAAGTGGTTGGAATCTAAAAAAACAACAACAACAGATAAGCTATAGACTTGAACGTTATGGCTAATTGGTTTATAAAAATAACTTCATTAACTTTGGACTATTTTTAAAGTACAAGTTGAATTATAAATCCCAAAAAATTATTTCTAATATACATATTGTGTAATTTTATGATTTTGAAATACATCATTACATCTGTATGAATATACCAGACTTAGTCCTACAATGTTTAGCGTGTGTTGTAAATGGATATTTTTTTTTTTTGGTAAAAACTAATTTATATTATGATAGCAAAATTTTCATGTTAAGTTATAGTTTTAAATTTTTCTGCACAATTAGGAATAAAGGATTAAAGAAATATAACAAATAAGAAGATATTCTTTTCTCTGAAGAAATAGACGTTGTTTTTTTTGTTTTGTAATTAAATATTCCTTGCAACCAGTGAAATTCCTCAGCTAATACCCACGACAAACACAGTTGTCAGAACTATCAATAAATTGATCGCGGGCCCTTAAGATATCAAAAAGGAAGAAGAAGATCATTTACACATGTAATAACTTAATGAGATAGCTATGGATATATTATAACACTACTGAAAAGAACGAACATCTCTGAATAAAATTTATACATGGAGCTACTAAATAATATATATGGAGATAATGCATTGCTTCTAAAACGAAATCGCATAGAGTAATTAGACAAAAAAATAAATGCCACTTTTTAGAACAAGATAAATGTTATTTACTTGTTGAAAAGCTAGAAATATGTTCAATACAAATAATTAAAAGATACTAGTTTGGGAATGTGCTTTCGTCACTGTTCCCCGCTCTAACATAACAACTTTGTGCCCTGGTGTGTTTTATTCCACAATATGATGAAAAGACCCCTATTTTGTGAGTGTAACAGCTCCTCTTGCAACCAACAGACCAATATATATATATATATATATATATATATATATATATATATATATTTATATATATATATATATTATATATATATATATATATATATATATATATATATATATATATATATATATATATATATATTATATATGTACATATATATATATATATATATATATTCGTATATATAAAATTTCTTGGTGTCCAGATAACTATAACTGCAACAGCAGAACAGCATATATTAAAAATTACTGTTTATGTTACCTAAAAGTTATATCCATTTCATAGAAAGTATTGTAACACAAAAAAAGATGTTGGTTGGGTCAACGAGAAAACATGAAGCAACAGCTATTTCCAAAAAAAAACATATCATATTTCTTAATTATTAGCTATTATAGCCATTTTTTTTCATTTGGATCATAATTAGTCCGTGATTCATGGTAAATATCCATATTTTGAACGATTAAATGCAGTTGGTGGTCTAGACATCATTATCAAGACCGTGTAATTAAGTTAGAGACCGACCGAATTTCGGCTTCGGCTTCGGTTTCGGCGCCAAAGAGGCCATTTTATCACTTTCGGCCAAGTTTCGGCCCCGAGCGTTACATTTTGCACATTAAAGGAAAAAGGGTCAGCAAAAAGCTGAAAAGTTTCTGTCTGTGCTTTGAAGTGTAAAAAATGTAGAGACCCAGACTGGGTAAAAAGGCATAAGAAGAAGATTTAGAAAGTGATCAAGCTAAAAAATTTTCTCAAAGCCGAACTCTTGCCCTGTTTGTCTCATAAAAAGCTATAAAATAAAAACTTTTATTTTGATTTTAAAACAGTTTTTACCATTATAATCATCATACAAAAATGTATATAAACATTTAAAAAAATCAGAATTAGACAACGAAAAGTATTTAAATATCTATACTTTCCCACATCATTTTCGATGTATGCAGAATGTATGCGGACACGAATTTCAAAATATCAAAATATTTCATTTTCGGTTTCGCCTTCGGTTTTGGCCGAAAGTCATATTAACTTTCGGCCTTTTTTTGGTTTTGGCCGAAGGTCATTTTTAAACTTTCCGAATATTTTCGGTATCGGCCGAAAGTCATTTTAAAATTTCGGCCTATTTTCGGCTTCGGCCGAAATCAAAAAATCACTTTCGGTAGGTCTCTAAATTAAGTTATTTTATAAACAAATGATTAATTGTTAAATTTACATTTAAATGAATAGATGTTGGTGATACAAGCCCTTGTGACCCTGAAGTTGAAAGTACTTGCGGGAGTGACCTATATTTTGAGTGTCGTCCGGACAAGCAGGGTGTCTTCAGATGTCTTTGCACATCAGGAATGTACAGTAATGGGAGCCGTTGTTTATCAGGTTAGATTTTGTTCTAAAGAAAATGTTGCTGGTCTGAGCTAAATCTTCTAGATAGATCATACATTTTATCAAGTGCATCTGTGATGTGTTGAACGAATTTTTTCAACGTGTTTTAAATGGTATTATAACGCCTTGAATTTGTTTCTATGTTTTATTATAACGCATCGAACGAGGTAATATTTTTTTTTAAATGGCTAAACAGAATTTTTCATTTTGATTGAAAGAGTTAATTTAGAACTTTCTAAGACCTAAACAATTTTTTGTCATTGAAAAGTTGCAATGAAAACTTTTTGAAGGTTTCCAAGAAAACTACATTAGTCAAGATTATATATGAAATGAGTACTCAAGATAGGACTACACGAGAAGAGACTATATAAGACAAGAATAACAAAAAAAATGTATTTTCCGACAGTTATTGCAACACTTGAACTACTAAAATGTTTATGGGCCCACTCTCCTCCTATGTATCGTTACCAGCTCCCCCCACTCCCTTTTTAAAAATTTAATTATTTTGTTCGCCAAAGCCTAAATATTCCTTCACCAAAATTTTAACCCTGTGAGTCGTATGCAGGACAATACAAATCCCTGCCTTAGACTTTGGCATATTTTGTAACCTGTTAAACTAGTAAAATTGTAAAATTTAATATTTAAAACCTAAGTAGGACTTTTGTGAACTAGATTTAGGTCGCGAATGTATGGTAGAGAGAGTTGTTGATCGTGAGAGATTGTATCAAATGTAGATGGTGAGGTCAGATCTTGAACCTAATTCGTGGTGTTGAGTTAGTATATGCTAAGTGCTTGTGGTGTTGCGTTAGTGTACGCTGAGTGTTTGTCGTGTTGAGTTAGTGTATGCTGTATCATGGTAATGTTGAGTTAGTGTATGCTGTATGTTTGTGATGTTGAATTAGTGTATGTTGTATTTTTGTAATGTTGAGTTAGTGTATGCTGTATGTTCGTGGTGTTGAATTATTTTATGCTGTATGTTTGTAATGTTGAGTTAGTGTACGCTGTATGTTCGTGATGTTGAATAAGTGTATGCTGTATGTTTGTAATGTTGAGTTAGTGATGTTGAATTAAGTATGTTGTATGTTTGTAATGTTGGATTAGTGTATGCTGTATATTCGTGATGTTGAATTAAAGTATGCTGTTTGTTTGTGATGTTGAATTAGTGTATGCTGTATGTTTGTGATGTTGAGTTAGTGTATGCTGTATGTTCGTGAAGTTGAATTAGTGTATGCTGTATGAATGTGATGTTTAATTAGTGTATATTGTATCTTTGTGATGTTGAGTTGAATTAGCTTATGCTGTATGATTGTGATTTTGAGTTAGTGTATGCCGTATGATTGTGATGTTGAGTTAGAGTATTCTGTATGTTTGTGATGTTGAGTTAGTGTATGCTGCATGTCCATGATGTTGAATTAGTGTATGCTGTATGATTGTGATTTTGAGTTAGTGTATGCTGTATGATTATGATGTTGAGTTAGTTTATGCTGTGTGTTCGTGATGTTGAGTTAGTGTATGCCGTATGATTGTGATGTTGAATTAGTGTATGCTGTATGTTTGTGATGTTGAGTTAGAGTATTCTGTATGTTTGTGATGTTGAGTTAGTGTATGCTGTATGATGTTGAGTTAGTGTATGCTGTATGATTGTGATGTTGAGTTAGTGTATGCTGAGTGTTTGAGGTGTATGTATATAAAAATTGGCTTGCTAAGTTATGGTTAGGAGCGTCAGTGGAGCGTTAGCGTGACAGCTGAAGTGATTGCGTTGTCAGAATATAGAATGTTTGATGGATTGACAATTCCTGTGAAATGATTAATTGTTATATCTACTCTCGTCGAACGTTGTTTATTTGTCTTAATTCTTGGATAAAGCATGGCTATGTGGCAGTGAAGTTAGAAAACTTTGCCAGTAATGAGTATAGCAATCTTACGATTTGACAAATGGAATGGCCCTTAGAAAAGAGATGTATCTTTTCGAAGCACAGACCTTCATTTAGTTGCAAATGTCGTAACAAGGAATATTCATACCCTAAATGACTTAATCATGTTGTACTTAAATATAGTCAGTTTTTTTCGTTAGTTTAAACATAAGAAATATTTTTCCAAAGCATAATTTTTTAACTTATTTATTTATCTTAGAATGGAAGTTAAATTTTGTATAATAAAATAAAGATTTAAATGTTCAAATATATGTATAGATTAATAATTTTATATTCCACGTAATATTGTATATAAATCTTTGGAATTAACATGTAAATATATTTCCATACAAACATAAAATAAAATAGATTATTGATAAATAAATAGAAGGGGTGTGTGCTGTTTTTCATAGATAAGCAATTGTTGGAAATAATTGTTCAATTAAATCGTTTATGCTTTTTCAGATTCCCAACTGTCTGTTGTTCTAAACAGCTATCCCCAAATCCTAACAAAAAATGTGACATTTAATTGGACCTCTAGTACACTTACTCAGCTAGTAGCGTATAATATAACTTGGGTAGCTACAGAGGACAGTAGCGACAATGGAGAAATGGTAGCAAGACCAAGTGGTGTCTCAGTACTGGGACTAACGCCAGGAACAGAATACAACTTTACAGTGCTGTCTATACTACAAGGAAATGACTGCTACGACGACAGCGTCTTTCCCACACATTTTACTTTTGAAACACGTATGTTAACAACGCATAATTGATACGTCTTTGAAATTTTTAATTTGCACTACATAAATTTACACCACTTACAGATCAATAGCTTCATATGAATTCATAAACACTAAGTCTTTGTGAATTTGTCTATGAAATTTGTATGTCACCAAATGTTATGGCCACCATGTGGTAACAAAGAGTAACTTTTATTTGACTTTAAAATACATAGGAAAAGGAAATATCAGAGTAAAAGTTTAAAACATTCTTTACATACGATTGCAAACATTTTTTCTGGTCATATGAATCCATGCTCTAATAACTTTAAGACATTTTTAGTTACGGCTTGACTTCAGATAGGTTAACGAAAAAAGATTTGCAAAGTCATATTTTAATATAAGCCTTTAAAAATCGTAAAATAATAATTTTTTAATTCTTTTTTTTATAACAATTTAAAATTTGCCTTCATAAACATTTTGTTTTGCATATAATTTTACTTTTGGTTTAAATTTTGTTCCTATATCTCTTGAAGAACACAACCTTGAAATAATATTTTTTTATTTGATTCATTTATAACAATATTTTTAAGAATTTAATTTTATAAATATTTAAACGATAAGCTTAATGAGTTTATAAGATTATAGATGCTGATTCCCCATTTAAAATACCGCCGCATTCTGTAAGGTATCGATCAAATTGTAAAATGAAAAGTCTGTAAAACTTTGGTTATGAACGCCTATCACTTCATTACAAATGTAGCTTGAAGTGAACCAACAGTTAAACCACAGGTATATTGTGTTGGCAGTATGGGTTTCGTCATGTGTCTTCTCACCCAAACGCCACTTTGAGGATTCCCAACACTGGACTTGGGGATCCTAACACTGGACTTGGAGATCCCAACACTAGACTTGGGAGTCCCAACACTGGACTTAGGGATCCCAACACTGGACTTGGGGGTCCCGACACTGGACTTGGGGGTCCCAACATTGGACTTTGGGATCCAAACACTGGACTTGGGAGTCCCAACACTGGACTTAGGGATCCCAACACTGGACTTCGGGGTCCCGACACTAGACTTGGGGAACCCAACACTGGCATTGGGGGTCCCGACACTGGACTTGGGAGTCCCAACACTGGACTTGGGGATCCCAACACTGGACTTGGAGGTCCTGACACAGGGCTTTGGTGGTCCCGACACTTGACTTGGGAGTTCCAACACTGGACTTGGGGGTCCCGACACTGGACTTGGGGGGTCCAAACACAGGACTTGGGGTCCCAACACTGGACTTGGGGGTCTCAACACTGGACGGGGGGTCCCAACACTGGACTTGGGGGTCCCAACACTGAACTTTGAGTGAATATTTTAACATTCAGAAATAGTTTGGAACTGTATCATGTGTGTTATAAAGTTTCCAGTTCTTCAGGGAGCAATATTCGCATCATAATAAACTAAATTTGAGTATTGTAGATTAAGTAAATATGAACATTTTAAAAGTAAAATATTCCATTCTTTAAAAAAGGAAAAACGTTAACTTACATTCTTCAAAATAAAAAGAATAATATTAAGTTTAGGTTTCCGGAACCCCAAGATGAACACAGGTAGATATACATAAAGGCGTTAGAAGTACTATCTTTTGATTTGTTGCAAAATAAAGTAGCAGTGTGCTATTAAATCAAATCTTAAAATCTTTTCACGGGACATCCCACTATATTTTTTTCTGGTTAGTGTAGTTCCCAGATAATCGTCTTCCAACATCAAAAAAAAAAAAAAAAAATATATATATGAAGAGCCTCTGTGGAAGACATCGCTGGTTCCCACAACTGCATAAAACAAACCTACAACTATAATAACCTACTTTCTAATGCACTCCCCAAGGGCCAGCCCCAACAGGTAAACTCAACGAACGTTCCAGCAACTTACACAACATTCCTTACGTGCTGAGATTTGGACCTTCTGAAGGGAGGGTGGCACGATACAACATAACTGTTGGTGCCAAGTCTTATGAGGTGTTCAACTCAGAGCTGACCATCAAAGATTTAACGCCTGATACACAATACGGCTACACTATTACTGCATACAATAAACATGGAGTTGGAAGTGAAGAGGTCGCAGGACTCTTTAAAACAGATCCAGGTGAACAATAAAGTATACATTCAAAATTTTATTTGTAGGTGATCCAATGATATTAAGAGAAAGACAAAAAAAGGGGCAATAATTAACGTCATTAAGAGAAAATAACACGCGAAGAAATAATGAGACTCATTAAGAGAAAGGCTCAAAAGTGGCTATATTAAGATCGTTAAGAGAATTTTAAAAAATAGGGACAAAAATGAAAGGTACCTGTAGTGTGCTTCTTGGATATGTTCAACTGGCTTTTAAATTGACCTTAAGGCAATAAATCTAAATTTATTATTAATTTGAACGCACAGAAAAAAAAGCGGGGGGGGGGGGTGATGTAGAGAGAAGTACATTAAATAAAATTATAAACCTGAACATTTTTATCCCAAATTATTTCTCTTTCAACTATAAAAGATATTTCAGTTTTTTAAAAAAGGTTTTTAAAAATAATTTTGAACATTACAATTAAAAAATTCCTTTGATGAAAAAATTTCTTTCTATGTTCTCTAAATATTTTGCATTCACTAAATATTATTTATATTGAATATTTAAATCTTTAAACATAAATTTATTTTAGCCTATCTTAAGATCTTTATGTCCCGCATGACCACTTCCTACGTCCATTCTATTTTAGAGTCTACATTTAAACAAGAAAAAGTGTCACTAAACGTTACTCTTATAGCTGGAGTCACTGCTGCCGCCGTGTTCGTCGCTATCATTGCTGTTGCCGTTGTTGTGACTCAGGTCGTCAGAAAGAGGAGAGTAAACAGGTCAGGCTCTAACAGCAATATTGTTTTCTACTGTCATTTTCCATTTAATATCGTGGTGGTATTTGGTGATCCAATTTATTAATCCTAAACTCTACACCACAACTCCCGATAGACACTAAGTGCAAAAATACAACTCATGATGTAGACTAAGTACCAAACCGCCACAACTCATGATGTATATTAAGTACAAAACCACCACACCTCATGATGTAAACCAAGTACAAAACCACAAATCATAATGTACACTAATTATTATAGCAGGAGAGAAAAAATATATTATTACGGTACGTGGTCAGTTGTTAAAACATACAGATCTTAACTCGTTGCTACCATCATGATTTAATTCGAAAGGTTTTCCTTTTTCTCCCAAGCAAACCTCCTGCCAGTGAGATTATTGAGGACATTGATGACGACGAAATCGTTCGTGGTTTGCCAATTGCCCCCACACCATCACCTAGGGCTGTGATGAATAGATATATGACCATTGCTGGTCTCCGTGCTAACGCTGACACAGACCAAATTGGTAAGTACAACACATACCAAAAGTATAAATTTAACACATATAACGTATATAAATAATATATATAAATATATATATATATATATATATATAAATATATATATATATAACTGACCGATCGGTATGTATTACAGACACAGTAGGTGAGTCCAAAACTGACCTACTGGGTCTTCAACACACGGGAAATCCATTCCGCCCCCCCCCCCTTTTTTTATTAGGACCATATTCTCATCAACCCCGTCATACTTTATATCAGTATAGGAGTTAATGAAACTCACTAGGACTTAATGTAATAACACTATTCATGTTAAAGTGTGAAACTGGATTCATTATTTAATGAGTGATTTTTTTTTTTAAAACATGCTCAAAGTTTTAATTCACCTATTCATACTGCATAATATTTTTTTTAAAAAACGAAACAAAATCCAAAAAATGAATACTATTGTATAAAAACTTTCTTAGCTCTATCAGACGAGTTTGGAATGCGTCACAAACCACGTCTGCCAAAATTGCGCTCAAAGTGAATTTAAGAAATACACTTGTGTTTTAATTGGATGCATCTCATTTTTTATGATATTAGAAATTAATTTTTGTTTTTAATGTTATCAAAATATTTCTCCAATTAGCCAGGTGGCGTGTGATTAGCTTGATTGTAATTTCTGCTCTTCAATAATTGTTTTTTTTAAAATAAATTTTGAAGATTGAACACAAACCTTAAATTTTATATGTTGCATGCGAATTGCTTTGCTTGTATGGAAAACTTTGGAAATATACTGAGTGTCGTTCGAAAATTAATTTTTTTTTCTTCCATCTACTAGTGTTGGTTATTTAAGTTATGACGCCTTGCACAGTGTACAACTCGTATTGTTTGTCGCAGCTCATATCGTGTGTCTGTAACAATAAGATGTAAATGACGACTACAAGAAAATCGAATTAGACATTCAAAACACAATCACATTATTCTTTAAAGTACATCCACACTTTCATTTTAATTATTTTACATGCAAAAAAAACACGATTCCTCAGCGCCTCTATTTGAAATGATCACAGCGCCCTCTTAATCCCAGAAGCCTTTTATATCGCGCCAGAACTATCATATCCCCTCTACTTAGTGCACACAGATATACACTTATTACAGACAAGGAGAAAATCTTGGAACGATGAGCAGAACACTTTGAGAGTGTGCTAAATACGCCTTCAAACATTAATGATGAGGCCTATTGAAAGAATCCCCCAGCTCCCAACGAACGAGTCACTGGACACCGTCCCAACTTTTGATGAGATACAAACAGCTATCCTCAAAATGTCCAATAGCAAAGTACATGGATCCAAAATGATTCCTGCCAAAATCTACGAAGCGCGTGGACCAGCGATGACGGAGAAGCTATTGCATTTATTCCAGATCATCTGGCAGACGAAAACTGTACAACAAGACCTCAAGTATGCCTCGATTATCCACTTGTACAAGCATAAAGCAAACCCTGTAAAAATCACTGATGAATTTCACTGCTGTCCATTGAAGGCAAGACTTTGTCCCGAACTAGTTCTCCTACCCGAAATTCAATGCGGTTTCCGCAAAAAAGTGGAACCATCGATATGGTGTTTGCTGTTAGGTAGCATCAAGAGAAATGACAGGAACAAAATATATATAATATTTCACATTTATCGCCTTGAATAATGCTTTTGACATGGTCAAAAGAGGTGGCCTGTGGAAGAAGTACGAATGCCCAGACACGTTCAACAACATCATTTGTCAGCTGCTTGATGGCATGATTGCCCGAGTCTAGGACAACAGTCAGTCATCTCAAGCTTTCCCCGTCATAAACAGTGTAAAGCAGGGCTGTATTCTTGCTCCCACACTCTTCAGTATTATCTATTCTTCAATACTGTCTGATCTCGTGGGAGATGCTGATCTTCTATCGAGCGCCTCCCCAGCCGGCGGATAGGGGAAAGCCCGCCAGATATGGAGGGTACCGGGGAAATAAAATACCCGGGGTGGACAAAAATCAGCCCTACTGCCTTGTAGGAAGTGGAGGAATCCACAAAGGCTAGGGACCTAACCCGAACAAAGGCAGCCACCCATTGAGCTGTGAGGGGCAACCCCCCAAGTGGTTGTGCGCAAGGCCAACAACCTTGCCATGTAAAAAATCATAGTTACAAAAGCACCGAAAAGAGTAACAAAAGACATTTCAGTCCTGGGAGAGGATGGATTCCTTGAGGAGGAAAATATGACGCCTAATAGTGAAAGCCGAAACCTGGAAGCTATTAGGCCGACAACCATCATCTCTACCAGGACTACCACCGTCATTGGCGCTTGGAATGTCCGCACCATGTACGAGGCTGGTAAAGCGGCACAAATAGCCGCTGAGATGAGGAGCTATAAGCTCACCATTCTCGGAATTAGTGAAGCAAGATGGACTGGATGGGGACAGAAGAGATTAATCTCAGGAGAGATGGTGATATTTTCGGGACACGAAGAAGACAATGCCCCACATACCCTGGGTGTTGCTATGATGCTATCAAGGGCAGCACAAGGAGCACTCATTGGATGGGAGGCCCATGGACCTAGAATTCTTTTAGCAACCTTTCGAACAAAGAAACGTAGCATCAACCTAGATGTTATACAATGCTACGCACCAACTAATGAAAGTGATGAAGGAGACAAAGAAGAATTCTACAATAGAGTAATGACCATAGTCCAGGGTTGCCCACGGAGGAACATCGTCATCCTCATGGGAGACTTTAATGCCAAGATCGGCAATAGCAACACAGGGTACGAAGAGGTTATGGGACAGCAGGGGATAGGCGAGATAAACGACAATGGTGAGAGGTTTGCGGACCTATGTGCCACAGCTGACCTGGTCATAGGGGGGAGCATTTTCCAGCACAAGAGGATTCACAAAGCTACATGGGTCTCTCCGGACATGAGAACGATGAACCAAATAGACCATGTATGTTTTGTAAAAAAATCAGGCGATCTCTCCAAGACGTACGTGTTAAGAGGGGAGCTGATATTGCCTCAGATCATCATCTTCTTGTGGCCAGGATGAAATTAAAACTAAAGAGACTTTATACCGAGCAAACAGCATACAGCACTCTGTATAATACCTCCCTCCTGAAGGACCAAGCCAAAAAGGGAGAATTCAGAATCTCACTATTCAATAAGTTTCAAGTCCTACAAGAAATACTTGAAGATGAAACCACCGAAGGAAAAGGCCAAGCATGAAAGAAACAGTCCAGTCAACATGTCAAGAAGTGCTAGGAAACAGGAAAAAGGCACACAAAGAATATATGTCAGCAGGTACGCTGAATAAAATAGAAGAAAGGAAAAGAAAGAAATCAGAAGTGAATAACAGCCGCACCCGAGCACAGAAAAACAAGTCCCAGAAGGAGTATGCAGATGCAAATAAGGAAGTTAAGAAAAGCATCAAGAGGGACAAGAAGGAATTTGTTGATAATCTTGCTAAAGAAGCAGAGGATGCAGCTCACCAGGGGAACATGAGGGAACTGTTTGATACCATTAAGACGCTGTCAGGGAAATTTAGCAAGGTAGAGAGACCAGTGAAGGACAAAATGGGAAACACCATACCAAGTGAGGAGCAACAGAGAGGGAGATGGAAGGAGCACTTTGAAGAGCTCCTGAACAGGCCTGAACCAAGAAATCCACCAGATATCCAACCAGCCGATAATGACCTGCTAATTGACTGTAATAGTCCCACCAAAGAAGAGATTAGCAGGGCCATTAAACAACTCAGAAATGGAAAGGCTGCGGGACCTGATGGCATCCCAGCAGAGGCACTGAAGGCGGACCTGGAAACCAGTGTGGAAATGCTACACCCTCTGTTTATGAAGATATGGGAAGAGGAGCAAGTTCCTTCCGATTGGAAAGAGGGATACCTTATCAAGATCCCAAAGAAGGGAGACTTAAGCTCCTGCTCGAACTACAGAGGGATCACCCTGCTGTCCATCCCAGGAAAGGTTTTCAACCGTGTACTACTTAACAGGATGAAAAACGCTGTAGACCCTCTGTTGCGGGACGAACAAGCCGGCTTTCGCACCAACAGATCCTGCACGGACCAGATAGCGACACTGCGCATCATTCTAGAGCAGTCACTAGAGTGGAACTCGCCGCTCTATGTCAACTTTGTTGACTATGAAAAAGCCTTCGACAGTGTTGACAGGCAAACCCTGTGGAGATTGCTAAGGCATTACGGGGTGCCACAGAAGATTACTGATATAATCAGAAACATGTACGAAGGGATAAACTGCCGAGTTATCCATGGCCAGCAGTTGACAGATGCTTTCCAGGTGAAGACTGGTGTGAGACAAGGTTGCTTGCTGTCACCATTCCTCTTCCTGTTAGCCATTGACTGGGTGATGAAAACATCTACACAGCAGAAAAGAAATGGCATCCAATGGACCTTGTGGGATCAACTGGATGATCTTGACTTTGCTGATGATCTTGCACTTCTTGCACATACCCAACAACAGATGCAGGAGAAAACAAACATTGTCGCAGCCACTTCTGCTAGCATGGGTCTCAACATTCACAAAGGGAAGAGTAAAATCCTCAAGGTTAATGCCACCAGTACATCACCCATTATGCTTGAAGGAGAAGCCCTTGAGGAGGTGGACAGTTTTGTTTACCTTGGCAGCATGGTAGATAAACAAGGTGGTACAGATGCGGACGTCAAAATAAGGATAGGAAAAGCAAGAGCAGCCTTCCAACAACTCAAAAATGTTTGGGTCTCTAACAACTTAGGCAGCAAGTTAAAAGTAAGGATTTTTAACGCTATGGTAAAACCTGTGCTGCTATATGGAGCCGAGACATGGAGAACAACGGCCGTAAACCTGACCAGAATCCAGTCCTTCATCAACAACTGTCTAAGAAGGATTCTCAGAATTCACTGGCCAGACAAAATCAGCAACCAGGAACTGTGGCAGCGGACAAAACAGAAGCCCATTGAGGAAGAGATTCTCCAGAAGCGGTGGAGGTGGATTGGTCATACACTAAGAAAACCTGCTTCTAACACAACAAAGCAAGCCCTGAAATGGAACCCACAGGGTAAGCGGAAAAGAGGCCGTCCAAGAAACACTTGGCGCCGAGAATTGGAGACAGACATCAAGAAAATTGGCCATGAATGGAAGATCCTGGAGAAGCTGGCCCAGGATAGAGATGCCTGGAGGTCTCTCGTAGGTGGCGTATGCCCTTGGAGGAACCGCAGACGCCGACGATGATCAGTGGATGCCCCTCATGGACGAGAAGGCTCAACAACAACAATACTGTCTGATGCGTTGAAGGACTCCACCATGGGGTTTCCAATATGGTTTCGCACTGATTGGTCAGTATTTAAACTTATGAGGCTTCAAGTTAAAACCAAGGTCAAACATAACATCATTAATGAGATTCTGTTTGCGGACGATTGTGCCCTCAACGCTGCCTCAGAAGCCGTCATGCAACAGAGCGTTGATATCTTCTCGGAGGCCTGCAATAACTTTGGCCCCACAATCAACACAAAGAAGACTGAGGTGATCTGTCAGCAAGCTCCCAGTAAGCCCTACGCTGAACCCAATACAATCAAAACGAGGACTGCATCTCAACCCGGTGGATAAATTTACTTACTTTGGGAGCATCCTATCTAGATATGTCGTCATGGATTATGAAATGAATGGCAGAATGTTTTATTGCTGTTTGTTTATTTTAGTACTTTGGGTAAGCTGTTGTGCTAACGCCCGAAAAGTTTTGGGAATTAGGTAATTCATTTTGAAATATTGCTTTGAGGGCCTGGGGCCCTAATTTATTTATTTTTTTATAGGAGCTATACACTTATAATTTCATCTATAGCATTTGCATGGGTAGACAGAATTAAATCAAGTAAAAATATTGAAATTTCAGTTAGTGTGTTACATAATAAGTAGGTTTGTGAATCATTACAAATATTACAATTTTGCGTTTGGGACCATGGACCTTATTTTTATTATTTTTTTTATTATGTGAGGTATATAAATATAATTTCAAAAAGAGCAATTTCATGTTGGATCAATCGCTACAAGTGTGTGGACTAAATTTTAAAAATCCCTGGCTCTCATCATGACGGCTGTATATTGCCTGCTCACAAGTCGTGAAATCTTCTAATTTATTTGTGTTTAAAAATTACTTCAAAAACATGATTAGACCATATAATTTTTTTTTCTTTAAATGTCATTGCAAGACACATGCCACGTTCTTGTTATTAGTGTATTAAGAAAATATTATGGAACAAGCAGCCGACTTGGTGTCAATCAGTAACTCCTAAATTAGCAAATGTCTTGCTAAAGAACTTACACCTTTTTTTTTGTTGCTATAGCAAATTATAACGTGATTTGATTTTGTTGACTCATCTAATGTTACTTGTTTACGCACTAGCTTGGTACTTTGTGTTCGTATGCCATGCTGTTACTTTCCCTTGGTCTTACTATTTAATGGGTTTTATGATGTTGTAACAGTTGAAAAGTATTTGTTTCAGCTAAATGAAAGTTTTTCAAGTATTTCGTTTCATTTTTAGTCACAAAAGTTGATTTGTTTTATTGAATGTAACCATCGTTAGGGATGATGTTACTTGTAGTTATTGCTTATATTATCTATTCACATTTACAGACGTCCAAAATTATCTAAAAAAGCACGAGAACCAGAAATCCACGAATTGAATCACAACATTTATTAACTGTTTAATGTAAACCACATGAAATAATATCTCTGTAAACAAGAGCAAATATCGTCATAACTTCCTCCACTTCACATTTATTGTATTCAAATTAAGATGATGTTTGATTCAAAATTAGTCACAGCAAGTGCTAGTGACGAAAAGTAATCAATGGCCATTCATCCGGCTGCTTCTCTCCGTTTCACCTAACTTCCTTCACTTCCGGTTCCTTTTACTTAACAAAAACCATAAATTATTCCGAAACAAAAATTAATATCTAAATATTTGATCTGTGAAATTGAAGATTAAGAGTAATTATTTGATTTGATACTCTTTTTTTTTTTTGATGAGAGGCGAAGGTGGTAACCTCTGGCCGATGATTCTTACTACGCAGCCTTGAGAATCTTTAACAAAAACCATAAATTATTCCGAAACAAAAATTAATATCTAAATATTTGATCTGTGAAATTGAAGATTAAGAGTAATTATTTGATTTGATACTCTTTTTTTTTTTTTGCGTAAACTGTTTAGAACTTTATCTAATTGCTTTAGTTAAACCCGGATATTCGCGATTAAAAAGACAAACATTTTGGAACCCCCTGCACTATCCTTAAGCCCAAGCGACTGACAACTTAATCGCTGGTCAAAAGGCATGACATACATTTTTCCTGCCTTAAACCTTGAATTTTAGAAAATAAGATCTTTCTACATGAAGCGTATAAAGCTTTTTCTTTTCATGACATTGTTGGCGTCATACCTTTACCCTGGTTAATGCCTACATACATTTTCATGCTTTAATATTAAGATATTTTTTGTAAGTAGTTTCCATAATTTAAAAAAAAATATTTTCCAGATGAAAGAGAGAACGATTGCGTCACCAATTCACAAATAGGTGCATGGCACGAGGTAACCAATCAAAACTTACAGACAACAAACAATGCTGGGAACATCGTTAAACCGGATGTTGAAAACGTCTATAATAATGATGTCATCCTCAATGAACAAGATGCAGAACACGTCTACGATAATAATGTCAACATCAATGTACATGATGTAGAAAACGTCTATAACAATGCTACATATGTGGCGAGTTAGGAATCATCGGGAGCTAGAAAAAAAAAAGAATCAAGCGGCAAAAGTTGTATGTTAATAACAGCCATTTTTTATACAATATTAAATACATGCGCACCTTAAAATAGAAAAGATAAAATAGCAATTTAAATTCCGCTTTTATATAATAGAAAAATGATTTATTTATAACACAATTGTAAACATATCCATATATCTCAAACCCGATAATGTTACAGTTTTGAACTTTAGTACGGATTTTAATTTTAAAATAACCATTATCTTTTTAATAAATGGCATATCCCTAGAATTATTTTAAGTAGATGTAAAACAATGCGTGGTAAATTGGGCTAGGGCTAAAAAAATATCAATAGAAATTTTGGTGCGTATAAAAAAATGTGGGGTTTTGTACGTAGGGGCCATCAGTCCATTGTTGATCTTATTAATGTTTATAAAAAACTTTAAAGGATGAGGTGAATTTGATAAATTCAGTTGGCCACAGGCAACACAAATGTCACATAAAAATTAATTAGTCTATATGATATATAATTAAAACTCTTCGGTAAGCACATAATAGGGTGAGGGAATAGAGTGTAAATATTTTTAAATTGATGAAGATATATATAAATAAAATTATGTACATTATAAAAAAAAAAAAGAGTTAAGCCTGATACATCTGTAAAATTATTTAAGATTTTCTATTTTAGATAAAAGAATTCCCCTTTTTGGGATTTTCCAATAATATAGTGGACGAGCGAGGGAAAAGTTTGGTTACATTTTTAATGACGACACAAACATATCGATTTCTGCTAACATTAAAAAATATTTTAAAAATGGTAAATATATTTTTGTTGTAAATTGAAGCATATATCTTAACAATTATACTAATTATACTATTGTAAAATTAAGTTCATGGGTACAAAAAGGTGTGGGCAACTTATATTATGTTGCTAATAATAATGTCTTAGAACTAAATAATTTTAGAAATATGAAGATCATTACTATATAAATTAAATAGATACACCTTTTATCAAAGAGTTCTGGTTAACTTTCGACGTAATGTAAATTTCAAAGGCGTAGACTATTTTTATTTTCTTGCTTGTGCTTTTTGTATGCTTACGCATAATCTATTTCAGCTATGTAAATAAAATTTGGATTGTTAGGTGTTCAGAGCTCGCTATAGAAGGTAGCATGTATTGCAAAGGTCTACTGTTAACGTCTCGTTTTACCGGGTCATATATTCTAGTAGATGGGAATAAGCTAATTGGACCATCTAAAGCTGATTTCAATAGCACAGAAAACGAAAGTCCCTAAAATGCGTACCAAAAAGTGTTAAAAGTTGTGTTCAACTGCCGAGGAAATTAAAATTTACCTTACATCGGATTTCTATAAAACAATATTAGAATATTTAATTTTTAAATTAACGTTCATCTAATCAATTTAAATCCGATAATATAAATTTAATTTTACAAGTTATCTTTAAAATGTAATTAGTATTATTCTAATTAGTATTATTTGTGTTTCAAAATAATAATTTAACAAAAATTACAGCACAAATAAGTATCCTATGTGTGGGGTTCTCAAAGTTACTAATAAACGAATATTGACACACTACTATCGTTCGTGTATTTTATTATTAATGTGAAAGCAAATCTAATTATAACATTATAGCCGTTTAAGGATTAACCTCAACATGACATTGTTTGTATGAAAGCGAAATGTATTGGAACTACAGGAAACGACAAATGGGTTTATTACTTCAGTTGCCCTCCACGGTTATCATTCATTACGGAGGAGTAAAAAGAATTACACCCTTTCAAGAATTTGAATCTTGCGAATTGCACCAATAATAAAATATTCCTTAATTTTAGCTAGACACTTTCTGTTGCTGAGCTCAAATTTAGCATTTTTTAAGATTTTAAATGTAAAAACATGTTGGCCGCAATTGATTTTCATCAATTCTTTTCTTAAATTATGAAGGTTAATCATTTTAATGAAAAATATTAATTAATACAAATTTCTTTAACTGAAGCAGGATTTTTCTGTAAATGTGAATTTATTTTATTGGAATAGGGACGGCGGAAAACTGTCAGTTACTGTGGCAAATTATATGACAATAGCTTCATTTCTTTAAAAATGAAGTATTTAATCTTTTCAATATGTCAGCAACAGTAACGTTTCATCATTTATTTATTTATTTATTTTTAATTTGGTGATCAGTTATTTTAACAATATTTTACCATTTAAAAAATGTCTTTAATTTTGATGGAACAATACTGTTATTTTTTGGAACATTTCATCGTTCCAGCTTTATTAGTTTTAAATAGAAAGTATTTGATTGTACCAATATGTCGGCCGCACTAGCTTTATGTCAATTGATTGCCAAGTGAGAAGTGCACTTAATTACAATATTATTACAAATCGATACGATGTCTTTAATTTCAGTGGGGCACTAACTGCAGTAACGTGTATTTCAGTAGCTTGAATAATTGAAAAGTTATGCTATTTAATTTAATTTTAAAAAGAATCGGATTTTACTAATGTCAATTCTAACCACAGAGTAATTGAGTAAAAAAAATATATATTTTTTAAATTTACCATGTTTGTTTTTTATTTTGTTAACAATTTTTTTTTAGTGTCTTTATACAATTTTATTGCTACACATTAAAAAACAAAGAAAGTTAAAAACTAGCATTTATCCCATCGTGTTGGGCCTAAAATGTCTTAAATTCGGCCGATGTAAAAAAAATTCATGCATTCTTTGAAAATAAGTGATAGAAAGGTAATCGAGGTGTCTTTCTATGCTAAATGTCAGCCCTCTCCAATAGTATGCATTTTTTGCTTGTTAGATGCATTTACAATCTTTAGTTTGATTACCAGTAACGTTAGCGGACAACGTAAATTAGAATGAAGCTTCTTTACATTTCTACTACATTTAATGTAAATCATTTTGCCTTATGTGGACCCCAACACACTTCTATACACACGTTCTTTTGACTCAAAGCGTCCATTACTTAATACCCTTGTGCATAGACTTTCTTTTCCTAATGCATTTAAAAAAAAAAAATCCTTAAATGACATCTCCTAAAGCTAAAAAGTAATCCTACTTTCCAACCGCCACCAAAATAAATAAATAAGTATCACTACGACAGCTCTGCAGTTTTAGGGGGAATTTATTATATATATCAAAGAACTGATTTATAAGCCTGTATTCTTGAAGAGCCTGCAGTCTTCAACACAGTACTTGCTGAGTTTTCCTAGTGCTGATGAAAAGAGAAAAAAGTCTTTCGGAGTGCGCTCTTTTGAAGTGATAGCGCCAAAGTTATGGAGCACTTTTCAACAATGTTTGAGGGGAATTGTAAATGATAAAATGTCATTTAATAAACATTTAAAAACTTTTTAAAAAAGATTTAAGAAAACCAGATCAAAGTGAGCATGCTAAAGTGGCATGGATACCAGTGCGATATAAATATCAAAATTAATAAATCAATCCATCAGTCAATATACTTTTAGTACAACTTTGGGAAAGCGAGTTTGTTTACAAATTATTATAAAAAATATTTTTTTTAGCGCACACATTTTGATTCATTTTTATTCCCTTAAAATTAGTAATAATAATAAATTACCTTAATAAAACATTAACAATACAAAAAACAGGAAAACTGTAACAAACAAACAAAAAAAAAAAAAAAAAAAAAAAATTTAATTTGCCGCAGGCGTTCAAAGCCAAAAGGGCCGCCTTTATTTCGACATATTCAGGTATTGTTACATTCAGACCTTGAGAAATCTTTGTACTTCTTGGCTCAACAAGATTCTTCAAAGAAATGAAAAGGTTGTTTTTTAGAACTTCATTAGAGATAAGCTTAAACCTTTACACCAAATTTGAGTTCAAACAACAACAAAAAAATAATGGTTTTACAATTAAAAAAAAAAAATGATTATTATTACTTCATCCTAACAATTTAAATGCTGTAGTTAATATGTTCATGGCTTTTAAATAGAATCATAATTACATTTGTAATATTTACAAAAATGTGAATTCAGGTTTTGGAAACTCAAGTGAATCGAATGATAGGTTTTAATTTGTCGCCTACCTACTTCCTCCACGCAGAGCAGTCATTATAGATCATGCAATTCAGTTTTATAACTGATAGAAGCAGATATTATTGATTATAAACAGATATTATAATAGATGGTAGACAGCAGTTCATAGAGATTGTAAAGAGTAATTATTTTTGAAGTTTAATCGTAAATATAACAGATTAAAAAAAAATAAAAAATAACTTATTGTAGTTATAATCTAAAATTTAATGTAGATTGCTAAGTAAAATCATTATAAATCGTCAAAAGAAATAATTATATATGTTACCCTATAGTTATTATGTAATTCTTTTACTGATTCTTGTTATAGACGCAACGATGCAGTTTCTATAAACGCTCTGGAACAGTTACCATACATGGTAATAAGATTCAGCCAGGAGGAACGTTTCTGAGAATAATTACATTAATGAAAAAAAAATATTTTAAATATTATATTACATTTCCTTTGTCTGTACCAGGAAGTTTATTTCGCATCATTTTTCCATAAATCAAAATCTGCCGCATAAGTCACTCTTCAGAAGCAAGCCTCACACCGTACGGAAATATTGATTTAAAACACCATGTTCTTCCACGATGTGGTTTTCAATTCTCTATGCTTTATTACTCTTATTTTTATATGTAACAAGCCTGGGGTGAGTAAATATATCTATCGAAATCTCACATTTACAAACATATTTAACTTCTCCTGTTAGTTTAGCAGTAATTAGTTCATTAATTCATTATGCTTAACGTCCTAGCATTCATTGTTGTTTGTTTTTACCTCTAGAACAGCGGTTGTCAGCCTGTAGTTCGCAAACTCTTGGGGGAGGGGGCGGCGCAAACGACCCTTTCACAGGGGAAGCAATAAACTATCAGAAAACACGTTTTTATGAAAAGTAAAATAATGTTATGATTGGGGGTTAACACAATATTATGAGGAACGGCATTAAGTGGTCGCGGCATTAGGAAGCTTGAGAACCACTGATCTAGAACAACTAAAGAATCAGGCCGAGTATTTTAATTGAAACATAGTGTAATGAC